GTGAACTGCTGTATGGAAAGTGAATTTGCTCTGTAAATCTTCACCCAAATCACAATTAAAAAAAAAAAAGAAAAATTTGCCAATGAAAACTCTATGGATCACAGAATGTTGCCTGATACTCCAACTCACCTACTTTGGACACACGATCAGAACAGACTGTTTGCTGGAGGACATGATGTTTGGTAAAGTGGAGGGCCAGCGAAGGCAAGGGAAACCTTGAACGGCATGGACTGATACAGCAGCCACAACAATGGACTCAATGTAGGAATAATCATGAAGATGGCAGAAAACCAGGCAACGTTTTGTTGTTTTACATAAGGTTGCTATGACTCACCAGGTACTTCCAGCCGTAGCTGTCATTCTTGCTATTTAGGTCCCCGAACACACCTTGAAAGTAACATCATTATTAACCATTGTTTCCTAGGCTTAAATATAAAGCCCCTATTTGGAGGTTTAGAGTAAGATTTCATGGGACATCCCAGTTAACTGGCCTAAAAGAAGTGTTTAGTGCTCTGTTCTGTCTCCTAGCTCCTTGTATAGTACCTAACAACTTAAAAGCTTGCAAATGGCCATCCAAGGCACAATTAGTCTCTATTCACCTACAGCAACACAGAAAGGAATGTCAGGAAGAGAAGTCTTACTGGAATGAGTGGAATGAGTGTCTTACTGTCTCCATGTACAACTGCCTCCTTTGCCATAAGATCAGAACTAGATGGTGCCTAGCTACCATTATTGAACATTTTCAACAAAGATTCCATAGAAAAATCCTAATCATAAAGGGAAAAATGCAGAACTAAATTTCAAATTCTCGTGAACTCTAGACTTTCTTGAACTACTGCCCTGAGATGATCTTGAAACCTTAAGGCAAACATATACCCTGAAGACATCCCCTTAAAACCAAATAGTTTGTTTTAGCTTAACTAGGTTAAAAAAAAAACAAAAATAAGTCTGCCTGAGCATTATGCTCTTAAGAACTACCTATATAGGATCAGTTTGAAAACAGCAACTGGAAAGATGAGATAGGAACCTTAGGGGGCAGTGAATTTATGTTGATGAGGAACCACTTTGAAAAGGAGAGTGAGAATGGTTGCACAACTTGAAGATGTTATCAACGTCACTAAACTGTACATGTAGAAACTACTGGTGGATGTTCTGCTGTGTATATTCTCAACCACAAAATAAATAAATTTTAGAAGAAAAATAAAGCCCATAAGTTAGGGAGTTATATAAAGTGTAAGATTCAAGTTGACACAGAGAAAGAAAGTCACTTAGTCAAAATTTATTCCAATATTTGAAAATATTCAGACTAATCAAATTGTTTCTACTGTAAATTCTTATAATAAATACTTAATATAAAACTTTAAAAAATGTAAATGTAATGCTGTTACCTACCCCTAAATGGAATACTAAAATTTTCAAAAGCAATGGCTATTTGGTAAGATGCAGAGCAACAGTAACAAAGAACTTTCACACTTCTAAGGACACAATTAGCAGCAAGCTATTCAATAAAACAAACACACCAGTTTTTACACTTTACATGTTTGTTTTTAACTTTGCTTCATAGAGCCACTGATAACTGTGGCCTCTTTCAAGTATTGGATTTCTAACATAAAATTTCATTTTCTAAAAATTTTAATTAAAAAATGAAAAAGCCATATACTGCTTTGTTCACAAATCCATACATCATAACATAAAGCACAATCCAACTGAATTTATCCACGTTTCCCCCTACTTGGCATTAAGACATTTTTCTACATACCTTATAAATATTTTTACAAAAGTCAATTCTCATTTATTAATGCTGATTTAGGAAAACTGATTTATAATGCGTTGTTATCACCTTTAAAATTACCTTCTAACACTGTCACTGCCCACAATCTGGCGCTAAAGTGAGTAATGATGTAATGTACTAATTCAGGGGCCCAAAACAATCTATAATCTTAAATTCCTAAACATCCACTTATTTCAAAGTTGCCAATATAAACAAAAGACTCAAATGGCCAAAAATCATAGTTAGCAGGAAAGAAGCATCAGGATGAAGATTATTTAACCAAAACTTTATTATTTATGCCTTTTCCCCAAGCTACAAGCACTGTTTAGACGCATTCAATTACCTTGTTAAAGCCGTGTATGTACGCAGTTTCATTTGCTCAGGATCACAGAATTACATTAAAAATAAATTAAGTTTCTATTCCTCATAGTTTAAATGGCTCTTAAATAGTTTCCTGGGTGGAGGGGTAATCATTTACATTCTTTAAGAAACTAACATATATAAATGAACAGCAAAGTGCTATTTTAAATCTTAAGGAAACATAAACATGAAACCTTCCAACCCCCTAAAAAATGCAATATAGATCTACATGGTAATCACTGCCCATTTCTGTGAAAAGACGAAATGATACAGATGAATTCTACCTTAAAGTGTACAGTTTTAAGATAATTCTAAATTGACAAAAACTGATACTGACAATCACTTAAAGGAAAAAAAAAAGAAGAAAAATGATGAATATCTACTCTTAAAAAGGAAAGAGAAGTGTTAACATAAAAATGAAACCTATAGATTTGAAAAACATTCATTTTTGTGTTTAAAAAAACAATCAACAAATAGTAAGAGAATGGAATGAAAACTTCAGAATTGAGGCAGGTTTATAAGAAAAATGGAAGAGTACAATGATTTGAACTCAAGAAGGAAATGACTAATTAAAAATGAAATGCCCCAAGTTTTCATGTCTATAACAAAATATGTAAATATGAAATATATTACAAATACAAAGTATGGGTCTTTCTCCTTGGGTTTATAATAAACCACCAGGCTCTGTTTTTAATGCATGTATTTCCATAAGCCTTCTGTTTAGCAGCATGTGCTATTTAAGTACATATATGTTGGCATTTTACCATGAAAATGACCCTTCTCATCCCAAACTAGTGACTTGCCTTTGCACTCATATACATTTTATTTCCATAAGGACATAAGACCTTTCTTTTGGAAAGATTTTAAAATTTTCATTAATACAAAAAAAAAGAATCTTAATTTTTAAATGAATCTTTTTAGTACTGTGGCATAATGGATTTAACAGTTGAAGCATAATAGAGTAGCTACACTGTATTGTTTAAACTCATTCACAGCTGTTGAAAATGTCTGATTTTTAAAATATAACCAAGATGAGACTGCACAGTTCTGAACAATGAAATACTAGAAAACATTGAATGATTAAATAAGATGATTTTTCAGCAGTGGCCGTTCAGTAGTTTGCTTACAGGAACCTGGAAAAACTTGTCTTCTTTGACTTTCAAATGTTCTGGTAAATCTAGTCGTTTCTTAGCTTCCTCAATATCACCTTGAATTGCTGAAATAAGCGACTCTGAAAAGAGAATATCCCAGGTAAAGATACTGAGTCATTGCCTTTAAGAAAAATCTATATTATTATTCAAAGTGAAAATCTTATGAAGTAAACAAACTGAATCCTATATCCCACTGCCATCGAGTTGATTCTGACTCACAGCAACCCCCACTGGGTTTCCAAGGCTGTGGCTACACATCTTTACATAAACAGACTGCCTCATCTTCTTCCTGCAGAGCACCTGGTGGGTTTGAACTGCTGACCTTCTTTCTGGTTAGCAGTCAAATGTCTTACTCATCATGCCACCAGAGCTCCTTCAAAATATATATTCTCACTGCCGTCAATTCGATTTGACTCATAGCAACCCCTCCTTGGGTTTCCGAGGCAGTATCTCTGTGGAGTGGCTGAGGGTTTGAATTGCCTGCCTTCTGGTCAGCAGTCAAATGCCTTAGGCACTACACCACCAGAGCTCCCAACTGAGTTCAACTTGCTGTTATAAATCCTTTTTGGGGACTATACGTTGTAAGGAGCCCTGGTGGCCCATTGGTTAAGCACTTGGCTACTAATCAAAAGGCTGGCAATTCGAACCTACCAGCAGCTTTGTGGGAGAAAAGACCTTGCAATCTGCTCCCATAAAGGTTAGAGCCCAGGAAACCCCATGGGGTATTTCTGTCACATGGGATTGCTGTAAGTCAGAATCAATTCAACTGCACACAACATACACCATACATATAACTGGTTTTTATTGTGAAAACTACTAACGTACTTTTTAACTTCTTCTTTATTAAGTCTCTCCCAAAAACTCACAGGCTAGTAGTGTGCCTGGCATAGGGTAGATGCCCAGGAAATGTTTGTCCCACTCCTTCTTCCAGATTTAAATAAATTAAAATTAATGGTACATAAAGTTATATCTAATCTTCTTGCAATTAGCTAAAAATGTACACTGCAAATTATAAACAAAAGACACAAACTGATACTCATGATCTATTCTCTGTATTTACATTTGTTAAAAAACAAATTTTATAGAAGAATCAAAACTATCACACTACACTAATACTTGATACCGACATACTGCTTCTTACGCTTCAAGCTATTTCTAAAGCATTCATTTTTCATCAGAGTATTAGTTCTTACTTGTTACTTAAAATATGAAAGGAAAATAAAGATTTCATTAACTGTTAGAAAAAAGAATCACACAGAGCAGTCAAGAACTGAGGCTCTGCATGATGGGTTTGAATCTAGGACCAATCACTCCACCAGCCACTTCTTGGGTGGAAGAAATTAACTTCTCTGTGCCAATTTTCTCATCTGCATAATGGGCAAAATAATTCCTACCTCATATAGTTGTATGGATAAAATTAGTTAATTCATGAAAGCACTTAAAACAGTGCCTGGCATACGTTAAATGCTCAAATATTATCTGTTCTTGTCATCATTATTATTAGGAGCAGCAGCAGTTATAGTTGTAGTAGCAGTATTTAGAGGAGCTGAGCAAGAACTTACCTAAAGAATCAAAGTTCTTTTCAGGTCTCAGGTAACCCACAATAGCCACATTAAGGATTTCCCCATAGAAGTCCTCTTTGAAGGTATGTATGATATGAGTTTCCTATAGTCAAGAAGTATTAGAATTAAGTATTAAAATGCTAAAAGGCATATTTTAAAATAAATCTTTGTGTTTATGGTGAGTTAAAAGAACCAATTAACCCTCATTAAATTTTAAAAGACTTACGTATTTATATTTTAAATGCAGTTTTTCCTTAATTTTTCCAATAGTCCTATACGTCTCTGACAAACACCAAGTTATAGAAACTTGTGAGGATCAAGCAGAGCTGAAGTCTAATGTGTGGGCAAGAGAGCCAATGCAGGTTTCTGATCACGCAGCAATGTAACAAATGGGTATAGAACATGTTGATGTAAAATGGTTGCCAAAAGGGCAAGGAGATGGTACCTTCTGATATCTGCTAACTACACAAGAGGAGGACAGAACCATCAGGTCTTATGAGGCCAGACATGCTGCCACCTTCTAACCCTCTTACTAACCTTGTCACCAACCATTCCTCCTTCAGCACCCACCACCTCTCTGCTGGGTTCAATAATTTGCTTGCAGTGGCCACACAGAATTTCACAGACTATGGGGTTTATTGGGGGGAAGCAACAGACTACAATTCAAGTTCAAGAACACACTCAGTCTCTCACAGCTGGCAGTCTCTTTCAGTCGCACATCTCTCTCAGCAGCGCATGTCTCTCACATCTCTCTCAGCAACAGGTCTCTCATCCAACAGTGAGAGATTCTCTCTGCCTCTACGAGGGCTCCTTTTGAGCCTGGCAGAGTGGCCAAAACCAACTAACATCAGAATTCTACACACCTCAGAGAGAGTGAACTTTCCAGAAAATTACTTCATGTTGCTCCCAACAGAAATACCCCAGGTGGATAACTTTAACAATCAGGAGCTACTCAGCTGCTCACGCCAAATTCCACCACAGAGTTTACAAAGACTACGGCTAGAAAGGCATTTGACTGCTAACTAGAAGGCTGGTGGTTCAAACCCACCAGCCACTCCTCAGGTGGAAGATTGGGCAATCTACTTCCTTAGTGGCACCACCTCAGAGATCCAAGGAGGGGTCGCTATTAGTCGCGTCCGACTAGACGGTAGTTAGTTTCTTTTTTTCTTTTTCTTTTTTAATAGCTAGAAAAGCCATAGTATGTAATTTACTACACCATAATGGTGTTAGAGAAAGATGATGTCCTGGCACCTCTTTAGTTCAGGTCATCATCTGAATTTTAGTATAATCCCAAAAAGAAAAAATCTGGATCCAAAAGGAAGAAACATTAGGTAAGAAACCAAACAAATACAGAAATAAGACAGCAGAGGTTTGACTAGGATGGTGGCACTGGAAATGGAGGTGTTTAAGTGTAAACATTTCAGAAACGTGTAACTTAATATTAGAGGTACATTTAGAAATGTATGACTTCAGAAATCTAATATACAAAATGATCCTTAAACCTGAACTATCTCAAATCAGCTAAGAGTACAGTTAAATTATTCAAACAAAGCTAATAGAGATAAGAGCAAATTATACATAAATATAATGCCCTATTCAAGCAAATAAAACATATGAAAATATGAATCCTATAATTAAGAATTTATCTATTCTTAACAAAAATGGCAAGTTCATCACCTGCCCTTATATTATGATGCAGACCAAAAAAAGGCAGGAAATTTCAAACAGAACTTTTATATTGAGGTTTTTTTTTCCTCTTAAAATAACCTAGTGTTTCAGACCTTTTCTTGTTTGGGGAAAGGAACCATGGATCCACTGAGGTGACTAAAAGAGGTTTTCTCCCCAGGTATCCTAACACTAAACTTTGCATGTAATATGATGAGTTTTATGGATTTGGCAAAGATTCTGGTTTAAAATATGGATACTTCTCAACCAGCTGGTGGAATGAGTTGTTGGGCCTGTGGGCCCAGAACCATGGTCACAGGAGACATCAAACTCAATTGGCACACTACACAAAAGCATTGCTCTACATCCTACTTCGGTGAGTAGCAACTGGGGTCTTAAAAGCTTGCAAGTGGCCACAGATGCAACAATAGGTTTCAACTCGTCCAGAGCAAAGAAGAATGAACAAAACCAAAGACATATAGAAACAATTAGTCCAAGGGATTAGTGGACCATGTGAACATCGGCCTATATGACCATGAGACCAGAAGAACTACGTGGTAACCGGCTACCATTGTCAACCACTTGTAAAGGGATCAGTGCAGAGGATACTGGATAGGGTGGGAGAACAATGTGGAACAAAATTCAAAATCATAAAAATGATCAGATTTACTGGTCTGATGGAGTGTAGTAAGACCCCAGACTACAGCCCCTAGGTACCCTAGGTCTGGAATTGAATTCACTCCCATGGCTTCTAGCCAAGCAAGAGACAAGCATACAGGGTGAACATTTACATCAGGTAGATATACTCCTTAGAACGATCAATCATGGGAGAACAAAAGGGTAGTATCTGCACAGGGAGATAGCTCAGAGGGCAGGAATGCATAGGAAAGAAGGACACAGGGAAGAGGTAACTACAAGAGGAAATGGAAAGACAGCTGTTACAATGTGGCAAATTGTAGTCAATGTCACGAAACAAAATGGGTATGAACTGCTATGTGGAAAATGAATTTGCTCTCTAAATTTTCATCCAAATGACAAAAATAATAAATAAAATATGGATACTAGAAACAGATAGCATTTTTCTTTATAACGTAACTCTTATCAGAGCTTTAATTTCATTAGATTATGAAGTCTAAAATCACTTACATAAGAATTTGAAATTATATGCTATGCTAAACTTGGGGTAAGAGAAGCAGGGCAGTACTGTGGTAAAAGCAGACTTCAGAACCAGAAGTCTGGGGTTCTACATTCCACTATCTGCCTAACTAGCCTATTCAGGGCCCAAATTTTTTCATCTGTAATTGAGGGGGTTGAGTTAGAAGATATAAGAGTTGGAGATGACAGCACCTAACAACAACAACATAGCTTTGTGACTTCAAGGCAGTTACTCTGACTTGCATTCTTTTCAGTAAAATTTTGAATAAAAAAAAAAACCCTAAGATATGTAAGACCTCAGCATTGAAAACAACAAAATACCATTGAGATAAATTGTAAAGAAGCCTGTTGTTAATTGCCGTCCAGTGGATTCCATCTCATGGCAACCCCACATGTGTACAAGAGAACCGAGCACCACAGCGTTTTCAAGGCTGTCACCGTTGGAAGCAGATCACCAGGCCTATATTTCAAGGAGCCTCTGGGTATGTCTGAACTGCCAAGTTTTCAGTTAGTCAAGCATTTAACTATTTGCACCACCCAGGAATTCTGTAAAGATACCCATTCTCTCTAAATTGATCTAAAGATCCAGTGATATCCCAATCAAAATGCTAGCAGTTTTTAAATGATGGAACTGACAACTAATAACAAAATTTATATGGAAATGAGAAAGGCCAGAATTATCTAAGAAAATCTTGAAAACAAGACTGAATGACTCAAACCAATAGGTATTAAAACCTATTACATAGAGCTATGGACATCAAGATGGTATAGGTAATGGTCCAGGAATAGACAAGCTGACTATGTGTGGGGCTATTTCTAGACTCGCATATATAAAAGTCACTTAATTTATGACCAAGATGACACACAATGTTGTGGGGAAAGAATATTTTCAATTAATAGGCTAGGTCAATTCAACATCTATATAGAAAAATTAATTTTGACCCTATGTAGAGTAAGGAATTTGAGGATCATAGGTGGCACGGTCCATGCACATACACCTAAAGGTAGGCACTTCAACTCTTTGCCTTATCTCCTCAAACAAAGAACTTTCACATCTTTAATGCTGAAAAATAAGTGAAATATTGATCAAAATGTTAAGTAGCTCTGTAACATTTCTGTCGCTCCCACGAGCATTTAGCTCTGTAGTTTTCTATCTTTTCTATAAGCTTTTCAAACGATAAAGTGTTTGGCTACCAGCTGAAAGGCTGGCAGTTGAACACACACTCTCAGAAGTGTCTCAAGAGACAGGCTTAGGGATGGGCTTCCAAAAGGCCACAGCCTTAAAAACCCTATGGATAAGTTTCCATGCACAATGCCGTTGCCATGAGGCAGAATCGACTCAGTGGCAACTAACAGCAGCAGATAAAAACACTTATGCTGTGTGGGTCCTGTGAAGAAAAGGTAAGGCAGAAGAGTATACCCTCGAGGTGCTATTTAACACAAACAAACAAAACAACTTATGTGAATACGGCCTTGCAATCAGAAACCACCATCACTATAGTAAGCAGTTCCATCCTAACACGGTTACCAGGAACTGAACCAGTGAATGAAATACATTAACTAGAAAACTTATTTTTATGAAACAAGCTTTTAAATATGAAGTACATTGTAAATACCATTGATGAATTCTACACACACCTAATACTGACTCTAAATCATCTCATTTTATGTTATTTTACACAGCAAAATACAATTCTTACCATGGACTTTTTTGTATTCTTGTAGTATGGATTCCATCCTATGCTCACCACCATCTTATGGACAGCTCCACTTCCAACACTAGCCCAACCATAATAAATGCCGGTGGATATATCAGCTGGAAGATTATCTACTACTTGTTCAGGAAAGTTAGCTAAATAACAAAAATAAATATTGAGTGTTAAGAGTATTTATTTTATAAATATTTTAATATTTATAAAAATCACATGAAGGGCTAGTCTACATCATTACATATACCCCCTTCTTCAGACCACCAATCTCATTCTTACACGTTCTGGCTAGGATTTCTTTCTCCTCACATTGATAGGTTAAGAACAAAGTACCTCATTATACTGTTTACTAAACCTCTCCAAAAAAACATACACTTTCAAGAAGAGAAAACAGGTAGAGGAACAGCTGGTCTTTTGCTGATGAGGTTACAAGTCACTGAAAAGATTATTCTGTAAATACACATGCCTGGTTCTCAGACTGATTCAACAGGTCAAAGGGCAGTCCTAGGATGTATTTTGCTTTTTCTTCAGGCCTCAAGGTACATGACTGCAATGCATGTACTCAATTCAGAACGACAGGGACCAAGACTCCTGGAATGTTCTTATTTCCAAGGATGAATTAAATATATACTAATTTTTTTTCCCAGTACTTAACTAACTTTATTTTCACAAAATGAATAAAAAAGAGGGATAGGGGATTGTAGAGATAACGCTGTGACTTTAAATTCTTGTACAGAATTAAGACACACATTGACAGCCAATTGATGGCTTGAAAAAAATTACACAGTCTGATCTACAGACAGGCGTGCACTGTCAGGCATGAGCAGGTAAAAAACAGTCTGGAGAAAAAGAGTTCTTTCCAAACTCCCTGCCGCCAGTCGACTGCGACTCATAGCGACCCCTCCTTGGGTTTCTGAGGCAGTATCTCTACGGAAGTAGACTGGCCCAACCTTCCTTCCGGAAGAGTGGCTGGTGGGTCTGAACCGCCAGCCTTCTGGTTAGCAGTCAAATGCCTTAGGCACGAAGCCACCAGAGCTTCCTTCCACGCTCCAGTGACAAAGAATGAAAGCCCTTGCTTTGATGGTATAGAGCAAATCCCACTCGATTACTAAAACTAATGCACAAAGATTAAAAAAAAAAAAAAAAAAAGATACACTTGTCTGCTATCCAACGCTACTTGTGTTAAATTAATCCCTGAATACTATATAAAAACGGGTTTTAATAGCCCTCGGACGTAACCTGGCCCCAGGAGCTCTGCGCCGCAACGAACTCACCTGTAGGGATGCCCAGCTGTTTGGAGCCGCGACCGAAGCCTCGCACCACCAGGCCGCGGCAGAAGTACGGCAAATGTCTCATGACGCCGCCGGTTTGGGGCGCGGGCTGCGGCCCGGTTCGCGCGTCTGGCGGAGTCGCCGTCGAGAGTGCCCAGACCCCCCAAACCAGCCGGGCGACAAGGGCCGAGGTCGACCAGGCGCTGGGGACACAACAGGCTGGGGTTGGCAGATGGCGCACAGTGGCGAGTCTCTTACGCCCCTGACCCAACAGAAGATGCCGGACGACTCAGCAACCAACTGTCCGTGCCGGGAGCAGAGACAGCGGAAGTAAGAGCAGCCGCGGGCGGGGAGTAGAGCAGGGGTCGGCCGCCAGACCTCGTGGGAGGGCCCAGAGTCCACCGTGGCGTCACAGTCTTGCGCACACCCCTTGGGACCAATGATCATCCGCTAGCTCGGCTTCCGTAGCTCTGCCCCCTTCGGGGCTCCGCCTTTAGCCGCAGACTTGGAGACGCCTGTGCGCTGGTTCCGGGGTTTGACCCGGGTCTCTGCGGCTTTTCTCTCGCCTGGTTCATTGGAGACGCCTGTGCGCTGGTTCCGGGGTTTGATCCGGGTCTCTGCGACTTTTTTCTCGCCTGGTTCTTCGGCAAGGGAGTGCAGTTTAGAGCTTGCGGAAACCCGTTTTCAAATAGTCTCAGTGCTTCATTCTCTTTTTCGTTACGGTCCTGGGTCCAGAGTGAGTCGTTCTTTAGGTCCTTTGTATTCGCCAGGGTGATGGTTAATCATGACTCATTCGGTCTTGAAACATTAACTAAAACTGCAACATCCCCGCTCAAAGATCACCTCCTCATAGAGGGTTTCCCTGAGTACTTTATTGAAAATGCTTCATCTACCCCTCTAAGGCCATGGTGTAAACTTGTACCAATGTAAGCTCCAGGCAAATCAGGTTTTCATCTGTAACTTAATGATCCTGGTGTCTTGTGGAAGGGTACAGTGATGCAATCTTTGAAGAGGGACGCTACTTCCTTTCCACTCTTTAGGGTGTCTCCTTGACAACTGGATAAAACCAGTTGACAGTGGAGTCAATTCTGACTCCTTGCGGAGCCCATGTGTAGCAGAGTAGAACTATGACCTTTTGGAAGTAGATGGCCAGGGCTTTCTTTTGAGGCACCTCTGGGTAGTTCAACTGCCAACCTTTCTGCTCTTAATTGTTTTTGTCATCTACGACTCAGAGAACAGAATATTCCTGGAAAAAAAGACAATGCAAATTCATAGGCCTTCAGACTACCCTGTAACCAAACCAGTTGAGGCAGAGTAAAACTTCTTTGGGTTTCCAAGGCTGTACTCTTTAAGGAAACAGATTGCCACATCTTTCTGCCATGGACTGGTGAGTTTGAACTACTGACCTTTCAGGTGAGCAGCCAAGTGCTTAACCACTGCTCCACCGGGGGTCCTCTTCAGAGCCTAACTTTTTCCTCGTGAAGATGATTCCAACTGATTGTTACATATCATCGAGTCAGACCCGACTCATAGTGACCCCTCCTTGGGTTTCCAAGGCGGTATCACTACGGAAGTAGATTGCCCCATCTTCCTTCCAAGGAGTGGTTGGTGAGTTTGAACCGCCAGCCTTCTGGTCAGCAGTCAAGTGCCTTAGGCACTACGCTACCTGCCCTATAGGATCTCCAAGGCTGTAAATCTGTATAGAAGCGTACTGCCTCATCTTTCTCCCACAGAAGCAGCTGGTCGCTTGCAACTGCTGACCTTTCGGTTAGTAGTCAAATGCTTTAATCACTGCACCACTAGAGCACTGCCTTCAGAGGCTAGGAACTGTGAACACTTAACCTGCAAAATTGGTTCAGGAGTGGCTCATGTGGTATGCATGAGGCAATCACAAGGTCTATAGAGGAGAAAAATAAGTTTTTTGTTCTTTTATCTAAGTTTATGTGAAAGTTTGTCTAGACTTAGTGGACAGTTTTATTCTACTTTACACGCGTATAACTCTGATCATGCTTCACTGATACTAAAATTATATTCTCTCTGTATTATGATGAAGGGATCTTTGTGGTCAAGACTTTTGCTTTCCTAACACTAGAACAGTGCCTGATTCATAGGACATTTTCCATGATATTTGTTGTTGTTGTTGTT